TGTGTACATGCGCAGATCGCACTCCGCATTTGGGTTGGCAGTGATGCAACTCTAGTGCACTGTGACGCTCTGCGTATGCGCTCCGTCCGCCGCTGCTGGCGCCGCCATTCTAATTCGCGCAGTCACCAAATATGTATGTATACAAGTGGCCCACCGCCGTTCAGTTCAAGTTTCTGAAGCCTGGCGCGGGGCGTCCCCGGTTGCTTTTACCTTGGAGAAGCAATTTCAAACTTCCCCCAAGGTCCAAGGACGCCTTGCGCGGCTACGCACATCGACGTCGACATAGACACAGCAGGGATCCGCGTTCCGTTCCGGGATCAGGTATGACGAACTGGCGGAGCGCGGATCCCGCCGCGACGCGCACAGCCCTTCCCGGTGGTGGCGCTGCGATGCCACCGTGACTGCGCACTGGCCGTCGCGCGGGCCGGAGATGGCGACACGCCCTGCCTCCTGCGTCCTGCGCCCATGGCCGCCCTCACGACGGCCCCCACGCACGCGTCCTCGCCCCGCTGGCGGCTGGCGTTAGCGCTCGCGGACGTCGATGTGCGCCGAGATGCCAGTAACCACACACGACGCGTCGGCGCCTTCGACCGAAATTCAACATGGTCAGTAGCTGGCCAGCTAGGTTCGCATGAGATGGCATGGGTGCGTGTTTTTTATTATACAATTTTATTATGTTCAAAAAAGTTATTTTCAACCCCCCCCCTCCCAAGATTTGCCTCGCACCGGCGCACGTCGGGCCCACGCGCGGACAGACAGACAGAGACGTGTTCGTCAGATGGCCACGGGGGACTCGGAGTCTTCCCTGTCTGTCTGTCCTGTCGGCGCCGGCACGTGCACGCTATGAACGCCGGTGCAGTGCATCGGACGCACAACTCTCCCGGCGCGACAACCTTCAACCTCCCTTCAACCTGTCGCCCCGGCGCGGTAATCATTGCATCAGCAGCAGACCCACCCACAAGTCGACGTCTATTCCCGTCCGCCGTACAGTTGCGTCCCCGATATCACGATCACGCAGGCAGGTGCCAAGTCTGTCCTGCCACTCAGTGTACATGTCCGCGCGCTAATAGCCCCGATAGGAAAGGATCGTCCATCGCGATTCGATTCCAACATCGTCGTCGACATCATGATTGAACCGCGCGCGCGTTTGTGTGTGTGTCGGCGGCATGCGTGTGCGTGTTCGTGCGAGTCGAAAGCAGCCTGAGGGTTGATTACAGTTCTAGGCGGATGGAACTGGAAGGCGAATTCGTAATTCGAAGCGGCAATGGCATCGCAGCTCGAGTCGCGTGGCTCCCGCGTTCATGCATCATGGCACATGCATCTCCGGCCCTCTGCACTCCTACTATCCGCAGTGCGCGGGCGAATCGCATATAGGCACATTGGCATCACGAAGTGCGACGCACCAAACAGGGCGGGCGGGCTGTGTCGCCTCGTATGTACAGCCGCACAAACGCCGGACGCAAGATTCGCCGCGCATTCCATCCAGCCGTGCTGCCGCGGGTGCGCTGTGCTCGTCGTCGTATCTCGGCGTCCGTCATTCTGCTAGCGCGCGTCCCGGCGTCACTGTGTTTTTTTTTTTTTTTTTTTTTTTTAGGATGCCGCCGTCAGCTTCGCTGCTTCTAATATGTGCACAGCCGTTGTATACGCTCAGGTCGCGATATACTCTGGTGCGCTGGCGCCGCTGCTGTCACGCCTACGTACGCACTATGTATGTACCCGCGTCTCTGTTTTCTTTTTTTTTAGGATGGCGCCGTCAGCTTCCCTGCTTCTAATATGTGCACAGCCGTTGTATGCGCGCAGGTCGCGATAGACTCTGGTGCGCTGGCGCCGCTGCTGTCACGCGCGATGTACCCCGCCGCTGCTGCTACCACCGCCAGTCTGCAGTGCCAGTGCAGGGGTCCATTCATTTCCGGCGACGTCATTGTTCTGCATTTGGACACGGTCTTTGTTCGGGAGAAGCTGCTGGCCAGCCATGGTCGCTGTTCGGGAGCCTGAGCACCGCGCACCGCGCGCACGGCCGACGGAACCAACCTGCGTGCTGGCATCCGTGTCTTCCATTTCGCGCGCCTTCGCGGTGCACAGCACAGCCGCGGAAACTTGGAGGCGGGGGCGGGACGGGTGTTGCGGATGTGGTTGTGGAGGGTTTTGGTCGCGACGGTGGGGATCATGATCTGGCGGTGCGCGACGTTAACGTACGACGCGCCTGGCCCGGGCCCAGTGCGGCATTTCCGCTTGCCAGTGGTGCAGCTCAGCCCACCGGAAGACCCTCTGCGCGCGACCCGCGGCGCACGAGCCGACCACCCGCTCCATCATCCGATCACGGACGGGGGCCGAGCGCGTGTGTAATCAAGACCGGAGGTGGAGTTGTGGGTCCCGCGGCGGTGCCCCGATTAATTGCTGATGAGTGATACATTAGACTCGTTCAAGTTGTCGGTGGAGGGGATCGCCGACGTCGAGTACTAGCTGGGCTGTGTGCCTTGGACGTGCCAGTGCGCCGGATCACGCAGAGGACGTTTGACAGCGCCTCTCGGGATCGCCGTGGCCGTGGAGGCGGGGATGGGTGGGGCTGTGTGGGTGGGCGCCGCTTCCGCGAGGAATGACGTCGTGGCATTGATGGGCATAGCTTGTTCGACGGTACCCCGTGCCTGCGGTCTGCCTGGACTGCGTCGGGTGGAGGAACCTGGGGCGACGGCGGCGTCGAGGCCCGTGCCCATGGTGCTCATGGGTTGTTTTTCTGTGCCCGTACCATGGTTGGTCCCGGGTAGACTTTTGACGTGGCAGACATGAATGATGATAAACGTCGCGTCGGCATTGTCGCACCGCCTCGCCTCACGGCAGCCGGCGGTGTGGGCAGGGAGCACCGCATCAAGTATATAACCCGGCAGACTCATTTGGACAGGGACATCGCAGTCATTGCATCTCATCCCACGTCCCCGGGCCCCTCTTCTAGAATTCCCTCGGCGAACACCCTGACTCACCCCCCGAAACACGATCGAGCTCTTAAACAACCACGCCCCATGGCCGACATGTACGCAGCAGCCTACCCCCACCACCAGCTCGACGCCTACACCACCATGAGCGACGCCGCGGCCGCATACTACGCGCAGTCGGGCGGGCAGTACTCCGCGGGCAGCTCGCCGTCGTCGCCGTCGATGCCCCTCAGCGGCGGCGGGATGGTCGGCCCCCACCGCATGCACCCGTCGTCGATCTCGATCCGCAAGCAGCAGCAGCAGCAGCACCAGCACCACCGGTACGACGCCAGCGGGATGGTCGCGATCTCGGACGCGCCGACCGCGCCGCGCACGTACGCGACGCCGTCGCTGACGTCGAAGAAGGAGGTCCCCGCGTTCTTCGGGCGCCGCCCGCACCACGGGCACCACGGCTCGCAGCCGTCGGACGAGGAGGAGGACGAGCTGACGGAGGAGCCGCCCGCGGCGGGCGCGACGGACCAGGAGAAGATCGAGTACAAGCGGCGGCAGAACACGCTCGCGGCGCGGCGCAGCCGCAAGCGCAAGATGATGCACCAGCAGGCGCTCGAGGACGCCGTCGAGCGGCTCACGCGCGAGAAGGAGATCTGGCGCACGCGCGCGCTGATGCTCAGCAACCTGCTCCGCAGCCACGGCATCACGTCGCCCGAGTTCCTCGAGTAAACGCCTCGCCGCCCCCCGCCTTGCACGACATGAGACATTTTTGACGACGGATATCAACATCCCCGCTGTACTCCACTTTAGACCCGCGCGCCGACGTCCGACATGTGCGTTCTCTCCCCCGCCCGTCCTTTTTTCTGCCGCTGACCTGCCCCCTTCACAGACTCGAAAGCCATGTGCATCCGATATGTTAAAGCCGAGACGATCAGCAGTTCCAGCGCGGGCGCATACAGCCCGCTACTCTCCCCACCCACCCCACCATGCCTCCCCCTCCTAATGTCTGTCCGCGCCCGCCCACGAGGGGCCTGGCGAAACACGACCTGACATTGACAGTGACATTTTGCATACTATCTACAATCTATTTACATACCGCATCTGTACTTACTACCGCATATCTTTTTTTCTCTTTCTGGGTCGCATTCTGCACAACGTGAATGAATGCTGGGTTATTGGTTATGCGCGCGTGAGTGAGCCTGAGGGCGGCAGTGCCAATGGCGGTGGTTCATTAATTTGTTGCCATGGCCACGGCGGCGTCTGCACATGCACATGGCACCGAAACTCGTTCCGCACACCGCCTGGACCGACGGAGTGCCACTAGTCTACGGCGGTCCGCTCAAGTTCAACTGCAGATATATCCACTGGCATTTGCGGCATTGCCAATGGGCGCGACGGCGGCGCCTCACCATGCGCACGCCGCATGCCACAACCGTGGGCGTGGGCGTGGGCGTGGGCGTCGCCAGTGCCCGGCAGTGCGCACCGGCACCGGCATCGCCTCGTCCAGCCACGCCACGCGTGGGCTCCGGGAAAGCTGAAAATAGGCCCGCGGGGTTCCACGCGCGCCAGGCACCGGTGACCGGCCTCGGCGCCGGGTGCAGAGAAGTCACCGTAAGTGATGACGGATCGTCTGTCAATGGGTTACCAAGATGGCACTGGCATTCCGGCCCTTCGACGCGCGTCCGTCCGTGGACCTCTTGGGCCCGTTGGGCCCATACGTGTACTTACGGCACTTGGCCGCCCTCGGCGCATCAACCAAACTTTTCTATACCAGCGGGCCGCCATTTTCACATGCGCACTGTTTTACTGTAGTCGCTCGATCTGCTGCTCAGCGCACAGCCCGCACTAGTACGCTGACTTCGGCAGAGCGCTCGCCACTGTCAATGACTCGGATTCAGACGATAAGGGAATGCCATAACATGAACTGCAAAGTCATCACGTGCGCCAGCCTAAGCAGCCAGCTGCAGGCGCAGCGCCAACGGCAATGCTTTAATTGTATAAATTCGTGTATTCTCGTTGCTAATTACAGTAAATCGCAAGGGCAGACCAAAAAAAAAATCCACGATTTGACTTCACGATCTCTCGACCTGGGAGTCGAACCCAGCTTTCGCGCGCAACAAAGTTAAGCAAGTTCAGTCCAGATGACAAGCGCATGTACTAACCGATATACTAGTCAAGACTGATTGTATCTCAGTGGGTCCCAATTCTCACTTGCGCACTGTTTTATTTGCTCGATCTGTACCCCAGCCTGAATATTTCAGCCACCACGATGCTGCTACACCTCCTGCTCAGCGCACAGCCCGCACTAGTACGCTCAGCGCTGACTTCAGCCTGGCGTTCGTCATTCTCTATTATTCGGACGATAAGGGAATGCACGGCCGTGGGCACTGGCCCCAACGTGAACCGCAAACGATCCTAGCGGCGTGCCTCATGGCCAGAGGTTTTATTAATACTTAGACGCCCAAATGACGCGTACAAGTCTTGATGCGCCCGCCAGCCTGAGCAGCTAGCTGCAGGCGGCGCAGCGCCAACGGCAATGCTTTATCCATTGCTATTACAGTATATCGCAAGGGCAGACCAAAAAAAAAGGAAAACCTACCACGTGTATGCTCTCGACCTGGGAGTCGAACCCAGCTTTCGCGCGAATCAGGCATTCGAATACACATGACAAGCGCGTGTACTAACCAATATACTAGTCAAGACTGATTGCTTTGCTTTCACGATTGATGTCATAGGAACCGGTAGCCTCAGCATCCGATGCGCGTACTTGTCCGTGTACATTCCAAGGCTCAAAACATAAAGTTGCCACTCGTGGCGCTAGATTTTGTAGGCACGCACGCGCATTCTTAACGTTCCTGATAGCGACAATCGGTGAGTTTGTAATTCCCCCTGAATGCCGGCACACCAGGCGTCGATGAGTCGGAAAGGGAACTGATCTTCGTTGGGTATAGAGTCTGCCCATTGATTGATGGCAAAACTGCTCTGCTTTCAATTCTGGTAGTAGAAAAAATCGCGAATTACGCACTCCAGGTCTGCCACAGCGTCCTGATAGGCCAGTTCCCTCGGTTTGTTGGAATACTGTGATAAAAGCGTCAAGATACGAAATCTTAGGGAGCATGTACGCACGATTAATAACATCCTGAACGCGCCCCAAAATTCCCATAAGCTTAACCACAAGTGACGTGTAAATCCCGACGATGGATTCCTCTCGTTCGAGCGCCACCGGTAAGCCGATATCTATAGGCTACGCGGAGCATTTCAGCGCAAGAATGAACGACGCGCTCATTAAACATGGCCGCCTTCGGATGCCCCAGGAACGAACTCATGACCGCGTCTGACACGAGCAGCAGCCAGAACACGCGCTTGTACAGCACCGACTGGACCTATCCTCGTTGATACGGATGCGCCGGTGGGAGCCTTTTCCGGTCGCCATGTGCATTGACAGCCCGAGATCCGCCACCGACCAGCACACTTCGGGAGTCGACGCGCTCCCGAGGTACAGCACGCTCAACTGGGAGGAATAAGATGCACTGGCGCGCGGACGGCACTGCACCAACCGACACGATCTGCAGCTCGTACAGCGTCGGGAGATAGTACAAACGACGCAGGGACGCCGGGCAGCACTTGGCGGAACCAGCACTAGCCCGCGCCGATCCCGTCTGCTCCATCGAGGATAACGCGCGCGTCGTCAGAGCTTCGCCGCATTGATGGCGCACTGGCAGACGACGCGCACAAGCGCGCCGAACTGCTGGCCGTACGTGCGTGCAGGTGGAGCCCGCCGCCAACGGCGCGGCGGAAAGTAGGCCCGTGCAGCGCATAGATCAGCGCATGGGTGAAATAGATATCTGATCAATAATCTGGCCTCGTGAAAAAAAGTGCGGCATAAAGATCTCGAGCTCCCACTTGGTGGAGCCGTGATAACGATATCAGCCGATTTCCTTGGAGCCGGTGGGCACTGACCGGACGGTCCGGACTTCACAGAACTGCTGTTTCTGATGAGATTGATGCTGCTCGATTTTCCGTAGTAGCGTCGGTTCGAGGAGATCATAATATCGCCGCGTAAATCTGTCGCAGATGGTCAGAAAGGTTTTCGTCCAGGAGCACGCCGTCGTTCTCCGAGTCCGAGCTAGTGTTGTCACGGAGTGAGGCTCCCGTGCAGGGCCAGCCGCCTGCGACTAGATGCACTTGGCGCCCTCAAGTTCCGAGTCAGGGTCTCCTCGAGCCGTCGGGCGTACTGCGCGACTGTGACCAAGTTTGATGTACGGAGAAGGGGCGCCGGAAATGTATTCTTGGGCCTGATAGGATCGATGTGATGTTGTCCTGCGCCGTTCGCGTATGTCTTCGTTTAGGCTGGGAACAGCGGACTCAGACGGCATGGGCCGTGTAAGATGGAAGGCGGCTCGTGATAATTAACCCACCGTCACGTGGTTATACACGTGCTGTTCAACCGCTAACTTTCTTGAATATTTTCGCCCCATTTCGCAAACTATGAAAAAAAAATCAATTTGTGGTACGGCTAACGACTTAATTCCGGTGAAGAAATACGTCGGCTTCACGGCACTGAGTCACGAGGTACACCGTAGTGACCGTACACGGTACACCAGTGGTACACCTGCGTTTGGACGAAATTTGTTTAAGTACATGTCACAGAATACGAAAGCAAAATTCGGTTCGTCAGGCTCGACGAACTACATAATTGAAATAGTACAGGAGGATCGACGCTGTACTCCACGCGCGCCGACGTCCGACATCTTCTGCCGCTGACCTGCCCCCCGGCGGGCCCTCACAGACTCGAAAGCCATATACATCCGATATGTTAAAGCCGAGACAATCAGCAGCCTCCAGTGCGGGTGCCTACCCATGCCTCTCCCCTCCTAATGTCTGTCCGCGCCCGCCCACGACGGTCTGGTTTCGGGCGAAACCACGACCCGTTTTGACAGTGACATTTTTGCATATCTGCATCTATTTACATACCTCGCATCTGTACTTACTACTGCATATCTCGTGTCTCTTTCTCTCTCTGGGTCACTGCGTTATTGCTTACACGACTGGCGTGGCAGTGCCCAGGTGGTGGTTCATTAATTTGTTACCATGGCCACGGCGGCATCTGCACATGCTACGCACACCGGTCCACGGCGGTCCGCTCAAGTTCAACTGCTGGGCGTGGGCGTGGGCGTGGGCGCGGCCAGTGCCCGGCGGTGCGCACCGGCACCGGCATCGCCTCGTCCAGCCACGCCACGCGTGGGCTCCGGGAAAGCTGAAAATAGGCCCGCGGGGTTCCACGCGCGCCAGGCACCGGTGACCGGCCTCGGCGCCGGGTGCACTCAGAGAAGTGATGCCGGATCGTTTGGGTAACCGACATGGCACTGGCATGCCGGCCCTTCGACGCGCGCGCGGGCCAGTCACGTCCGTCCATGCGCCAGCCTAAGCAGCCGCAGCGCCAATGTTTTCTCATTGCTATCACAGTAAATCGCAAGGGCAGACCAAAAACAAACAAAAAACCAAACCATGATTTCAAAACTCTCAACCTGGGAGTCGAACCCAACTTTCGCGCGTATGTAACCTCCGCTCAGAGACGCATGACAAGCGCGTGTACTAAACCGATATACTAGTCAAGACTTATCACAGATCTGTCACGAGGATTTATGTCATGGGAACCGGTAGCATGCTTTAAACTCATTGCTTACAGGGCGGACCAAAAAAAAGGATACACTCAGACCCGATCACTCTCGACCTGGGAGTCGAACCCAGCTCTCGCGCGTAACCGAAGTATCCAGCCACATGACGAGCACGTGCACTGAACCGATATACTAGTCGAGCCTTATTGCAGCACCGCTGTCTATGTCATGGGAAGCAGTAGCATGCACCCGACTTGTGCGTCCGGCACAGGGCGGTGCGTAAGATACGATGTACATTCTAAAGCTCCAAACAAAAAGTTGGCGCCAGCACGTACCGCATTGTTAACGTTACTGGTACCGAGAATCGGTTAGGTTTTAGTAATTCCGCCTGAATGCCATTCCAAGCGTAGCGAGGTTGATCAAATTCTGATCGAGTAGAACTGCCGACGAGCCGACCTGTCAATGATTCGGACGATAAGGGAATACAGGGCCGTGGGCACGTGAACCGCAAATGACCCTCACGGCGTTAGAGGCTATATGCCCGACGCGTTTACAGCCAATGTCGGAACCGAAGGCGCGAACAAAATTTCTTTTTGGTCAGTTTTCGAAGAATTGTATGTAACTCAATTGGTTCTGCACGGATTCAGATGAAACCTAGGTAGATTTGACGGGCTAATTCATACGCAATTAGCGACAGAAAGCAATTTATGAAAATATTATTTATTAGATAATCTATGTGTTTAAACCATTTTTGTGCCAAATGTGGTCTAGCATGTCCAAAGCATGTCCCAGTGACCTCATATATTGGGAGGGACACCATATATACTTGCTTAAACATGTGATAGAGCCAAAAGTACAGAAAATTCAGTTCCAGTCTCTGTAACTTTGTTGGATACATTTGGCAGGTTTGGCATTCAGAAATATTGTAAAGATTACATTTAGCTCATGCTTTCATACAATTCTGGCTTTATCACATGTCGAATCAGGTATATATATTGTCTGTCCCAATATATTAGGTCACTGGGACATGCTTTGGACATGCTAGACTACATTCAGCACAAAAATGGTCTAAACACATAGATTATCTAATAAATAATATTTTCATAAATCGCTTTCTATCACTAATTGCGTATAAATTAGCCCGTTAAATCTATCCAGGTTTCATCTGAATCGGTGCAGAACTAATTGAGTTATATACAATTCTTCGAAAACTGACCAAAACAAGGAAATTTCGTTCGCGCCTTCGGTTCCGACATTAGCTGTAAGTCTTTACATAATTTGAAGCTGGGCGCGCGCATCATCATTGCGTGCGCCAGCCTGCAGGCGCAGCGCCAACGGCAATGCTTTAATTTTGTGTAATCTCATTACAGTCAATCGCAAGGGCAGAACAAAAAAACTTGTAAAGCACGCTGATACTCTCGACCTGGGAGTCGAACCCAGCTTTCGCGCGCATGTAGCAATGATCCAAATGACAAGCGCGTGTACTAAACCGATATACTAGTCAAGACTTATCACAGACCTGTCACGAGCATTTATGTCATGGGAACCGGTGGCATGCTAGCCCAACGGCAATGCTTTAAACTCATTGCTTACAGTTGCAGCAGACTGGCCTGAAGGGCATCTCGGGCACAACCGTAAGATAACAAGATAATTTACGATTTCCCACTGGCATGTGTTCTAAGTCTACTCCCACCATGTCCAGTAGTCTCGAAGCTTTCAAATTCTATGCAATACTACTATCTACTACTACTATTCTTCGGGAATCACAGCCTCGAACTCCTTGTTCTGGAGCTGGAGGACCATGCAACTGTTGCGATGCTTGGCGTCGGTTTCTGACCGCGTGCTAGTGATGCCCAGGAATATTTTGTACTTCGCCAGCAACAATTGTAATATTTTGCAAGTTTTTGCGTTTTCTTTTGATGCCGTTGAAAATTTTCGAGGGAAAAAATTGATCTGGAGGTTTGTTGTTGTTGAAAATTTTGGGGCGGAGATTTGGTCCATGGGCGCAAAATATTCGGGCAAAAAAGGACCTTGGCCAACTTATTTTCAGGGGTCCTCCTCTCCCGGAGCCCGTTGCCAGCTGTGACTGGCGTGACATTCGCTACAATGACTGAGGACCACTTCGTCTTTGCAGACGATGACGATTTCGAGCCCGCCTCAGCGTATACACATGGAGGACTTTGTCCCATTCGACTCGGTTGCACCCTCGGCTCTCCTCCCCGCTACCATGTCCTCACCAAACTTGGCCGCGGGTCCTTCTCGACGGTATGGATGGCTCATGATCGAGTCAGACAGTGAGGAAAAGTCGCTCCCAGATTTTTCAACTCTAATATATTCCTAGTCAAAATGTCGCCTTGAAAATCGTGGTGGCAAGAAGTTTAAGGACGTCACAGGAAAGAGAAATTCTCCAACGTCTTAGTAAAGCTCCTCGCGCAAATGTCGTGCAACTGCTAGATTTCTTTGAACATACCAGTCCCAACGGAATACATCAAGTTCTGGTGATGGACCTAGTCCGCCCCCTTCGTTACACGAGATCGGAGTTTCGCCCGATATTCGTGCGCACAGTCTTGCGTCAGATCTTCGAAGGTCTCGAATTCATCCATAGTTGTGGCATCGCCCACGGAGGTACGTTGCGGTCCCATGTAATTTACAGTGAGTGAGTTGTATCGTGTCACCTAGTCCGCGGACGTTTTGCTGACAAATGGGGCTCCAAGGCCAATTAATGTGTCATGTTTAATACCCCTTGGAGGGGTCGCGACGTCGACGCAGGCGGATGCTTCTATTACGTCACCTGGCTATTCTTAATTGGGCGCACCGTTGGCTGCCATCAAACCCGCCACCGTCGCCTCCGTTGAATGCTGGGGTGTAAAAGCGCACTGTAGATACCAGTTCTAAGTATATAGAATGTATGTCCTAACTCACTTCTTGTGGTAGGCATGTTTCTGGACCCAGCAGGCATGGGTTAAGGCCACAACGATGGTGCTGAATGTATACTAATTCGTTCATTTGGCATTATACTCACACTCCATATATTGCAGATGCTTGCAGACATATACAAGGTTGAAGGCAATGCAAAAAAAACACATGGGTGCACTGTGGTGCTATGATCCATGCTTCTGCCATCGCCATCGGCGCCTCCGGCAATGCTGGGATGGGCGCCTCCGGCATCAACATTGTCAACAGTGGTGCACATGATGATCTAGGTGTAACAGGTAGACAAATATGTACATAGCTAAGGCATATTTGCTCTGGGAAGGATGATACATGCACACTATTTCATTCAGTTGGCAATATACTGGCACTCCATATATTACAGATGCTTGTAGGCATGTACAGGGCTGAAGGCATTGCAGAAAAATTACTGTGGTGCACCTCTGGGTATCATCCATACTTCTGCCATTGCCATCGGCGCCTCCGGCATCAGTGCCTTCGGCATTGTAATGTGATCTAAGAAAGCCGATGGTCATGTGGCCTGCGGCCCTCCGGCATCAATGATCTGGCCTGAGGGAAATCGATCATTATGTGATTCAAGGAAGCCGATGGTCACATGGTTTCCGGCGCCTCCGGCATCAGGGAAATCATCATGTCTTCGACATTGGCATTGTACCCGTACCTGATATTAAGTTAATCATTAAGCCATGCACGCCATTACAGTTTAGTATACAGTACCAGAGGTGACGGAGGTATTTATAAATACGAAGGCGACGGAGGTGCACGTGACAATTCACAACAGTGCCACCTTCGAGATTGTCAACCAATTGGCAACTATCAGCTCTACACTACTAAATTGATCAGTAATGTATGTACAATATTACAATGGTGATTTATACAATACGAAGTATAAAGAGTACTTGACAGAGGTGACGGAGGTGACGGAGGTGATGGAGTTACCAGTATTAGTATCAACAAGAGTTTGTGCAATATATAGTAAATTGACAAAATAGCACTCAACCCCGGAGTTGCACAGCACCTGATGCTTGTTCTGCTGATCGCGAAGTCCATCAGTCAAATTATATTATGTGCCTCCGGCAACCAGGACAGTGTCTCCAGCATCCACACTGGGTGGTATATAGCAGTCATTAGTTATGATTATGATTCATAGGTGTATGACATGGGTGCAAGAATTTAATGTATTCAAAGATAACACAAGAAATATGTTGAAAAGAGTGCTGTTGATTTCAGAGACTTGAATTTTTTTTTTTCATATGATATAAAAGGGCAGGTATGAATATTAGGAACTGGATTTGATATTTGTTAAGTAACTTAATTGGTTGAGAGCAGTATCTGGCACAGAAAGAGTAGGGGGATAAAATATCTCCAATTTCAGAGACTTTCATTTTTGTCAGGATATGTTGAATAGTGGGAGAATTACGCACTGTGAACAGTTGAAAGGGTCATTGGACTTGTCTGGGTGCATTGTTGGACACAGGAAAGAGCAGAGAAAATACTCAAGCTGCAAGTAATACTCAATGAATGAATGCTATTACATTAAGAACTTTGAACTGCTTTGGGTACTTTTTGTGTATCGTAAAATTGGAGAGGAAGAACCAGAGCAAGACCCTACGTAAATTTGCTACTGGAAGCTGGGGGCATATCCCCAGATGAGAATCCAAACTTGGATCATATAATTAGTCCTTGAAATGGGTTCAGGAGAGAAAAAATATGAGGGTACGAGTGTTATTCCATTCCTGATTGGCTGATCAATGCTTCCGAACAGCCATCAGAGGCTGTGCAACTCGGAGGCGCCGCTACGTGATCCATTTATTTCTGCAACAAGCAGTGCCTTCAGCACACATCTGAATTCTAATGAGATTACCTTGAGCATGGATTGTGTATAAGTGAATTTGGTGATCAAACTTAACTCCATCAAGTGTGTGCTGATGCCGGAGGCACCCTGTTGTGTACCTGTGCTGGGGGGGGGGGCAGTAAGTACACTGACCATACTTCACATTTGAGCACACAGTCCATGTACAGTGGCGATGAAAAGTTCTGCCCGCGGTCGTTCTGGCCCGTGATGGCATCAAATCACTTCAAATAAAATTGTACAAAAAAATATGAGTGATTTCGAGTGTTTATGCACCATTAGATCCATATCTACTCTGTACCGTTGTCTCGTAATAAAATAAACAGTGGTTTTCTGAAAAATCGAGTCTGCGGATTTGAGAGATATCAAAAAATGGTATATGCTATCTCAAACTACTTGTAAATGCAACCCTATCCATATGTTGGTTGACCCAAATTGATAGGGATTTGGGCTCAGGATCTCTGTTGCAAGTTGGCCATTTTCGCTGAAATTTGCTCAAAATGGCACAAAAACACTACAAGTGTCCAACTTGCAATGGATATTCTGAGCCCATCTCCCCATCAATTTAGGTCAACCAACATATGGATAGGGTTGCATTTACAAGTAGTTTGAGATGGCATATACCATTTTTTGATATCTCTCAAATCCACAGACTCGATTTTCCAGAAAATCACTGTTTATTTTATTACGAGACAACGGTACAGAGTAGGTATGGATCTAATGGTGCATAAACACTCGAAATCACTCATATTTTCCTGTACAATTTTATTTGAAGTGATTTGATGCCATCACGGGCCAGAACGACCGCGGGCAGAACTTTTCATCGCCACTGTATGCAGTAACACCCCAACTGAGGTCTGATGCCCAGACCCATTGAGTGCTTGCTGATGACGGAGGCAACAATGCCGGAGGTGCCAATACCCCAGGCCGAGTCTTGGGCCGAGTGTAGTCAGGAAAAAAGATATATACACTGTCCATATTTCACATATGTGCACAGTGCATATCTCGATTCTCCAGGAGACACAGTATCACCCCAGCTACCCAGCAAGTGGCCGATGCCGGAGGCGACAATGCCGGAGGTGACAATGCCGGAGGTGCCGGTGTGCTGCACCTGCGCATCATACAAAACATATGAAATAAGAGGTATAGGCACATGTATCTGACATTTATTGTATTCACTTTATGTACTACATTCTATTTTTGTGTCCGAACTGTCACCTCTGATCTCGGAGGCGAAGGTACTGGCACGTGACCAGCGGCAGTCTTAGATCACGTGCTTGACTGATGCCGATGTCGAAGGCGATGATTTCGCTGGTGCCGGAGGCGCCGCAAGTCTGATTCCCAGCAACTACTGTACCATTTTTTTCGATTCATAAGTCGCAGTCACAGGGCCTGTTTTTTTTCGGAGTACATTCCATTTTTGTCTACAAACCGTTGCCTCCGTCACCGCCGTCACCGCCGTCACCTCTGTTAAGCACTGCACTACCACATTTTGTAGTATATAGGTGCTGTACATAAATTTACCATGTAAGGCTGAAAGTGGTGCCCTGTTTGATCTCAGAGCAAAAATACTGCCACGCAACCATCGGCATTCATAGATCACGTGCTTAACCGATGCCGATACCGAAGGCGATGATTTCCTTGGTGCCGGAGGCGCCGCAAGTCCGATTCCATCGGCAGAAGGGCACAGCAAATGCTTGCCCATAAAGTGCCACACATACAGTGGCACTTGGATTCATTTTAGAGGGCATGTATTCCACCCCTGTCACCTTTCCAGAGGCCCTGAATGGTGGCTGACATGCCCAGGAGGTCCATAAACATCCCCACCCACCAGGTGAGTTACAATTTTCATTCTATATATTTACAACTGATGTCTACAGTGCAATTTAATAGTCCAGTCATTCAACGGAGGCGCCGATGGCGATAGCGGAGGCTGCCAGTGGCCTACCCAATTAGGCATAGGCTTGTGACGTAATAGAAGCATCCGCCTGCGTCGACGTTGCGACCCCTCCAAGGGGTATTAAACATGACACATTAATTGGCCTTGGAGCCCCATTTGTCAGCAAAACGTCCGCGGACTAGGTGTATCGTGTTTGCAGATCTCCACCCCGGCAACGTGGGCACTGCTGTGCCTGAAATCGTACCTCTTTCCGTCAAGGACGTTTGGCGTTGCGCCGGCCGTCCACAAACCCTGGCTGTCATAAACTCGTCACTTGATCTGAATATCGACTCATACCCCCCATGCCTTTGCGAGACCATGGATGTGGAAAAGTTTCTTCTCCGTCTGGCACCAGGCGTTTCACAGCGTCCACTGTCCATTCGCATTCTCGATTTGGGAAACGGTATGAATATGTCTCATTTCTCTCGCCACAACTCAGTCGCATCGCAGCATACATTGTGAATGGATCTCCCTCTCCCAAATGCATTACACCGATGGGCTATTTGTCCCCGGAAGTCGCATTTGCACAGATAGCGCTCGGAGATGAAACTGCACCGTGGGATCAACGAAGCGATATTTGGTCGCTGGCTGCTTGCGTACGTGTCATCTACAGTATTTCGCCGCATATTTATTCTTACTCGTTTCTGTTTTCTTTCGTCGAATACCGCAGATCTATGGCCTTGTCCGCAGGACGGACCTGTTTCATGTTTCCTTCATGAGGGACGATCTCCTCCACCAGATGATGATGTATTGCGGAGAGGTACCGGACGCGTGGCGTCCCTACGTTCGTTCGAATCCATTCCCGCAAGGTGCGTCGCCTTGATGTCTCAGTCTATAGTACCATTAACCTGAACCATACTCCCCGCAGGCGACGTTCCTGGGATTGTGCATGCCGACAAGCTCTGGAAAGCCGAGGAGGCAGCATTGGAGTGGTGCGGTGTCGAAAATGCACCCGGGCTCGTCCGGCTCTTGCGCCGCATGTTGAATCTCGATCCGTCAAAGCGTCCTACTGCGGCGGATCTCCTACAGGATCCGTATTTTGCGGGTCTGTGGCACAATCGCCGTCCCTTGTTGCTTTGAAACAAGTATGATGGGCGTGAAGAAGCGCAAGATTTCCAGTCGGCCGGGTTCTTGCGCTAGTTTCTTGGTAGGTCCTTCCGTGTTTCTCCAGAGAGTGCTGGCCTTCTCACATGCACACCGTCGACAAGGAAACAATTCCATTTTTTGTTTCGTCGCATTCTGCACAACGTGAATGAATTCGAATGCTGGGTTATTGGTTATGCGCGCGTGAGTGAGACTGGCGTGGCAGTGCCCACGGTGGTTTCAGCTGAATCAGTTAATTTGTTGCCATCGTTCCGCACACCGCCTTGGACCGATGGAGTGACACTAGTCTACGGCGGCCCGGGTTCATCCGCTCAAGCTTAACTGCAGAGTTCCACTGGCATTTGCCCGAAGTCAGCGTACTAGTGCGGGTGGTGCAGTGGCATCCGAGTCGTCGTGGATCGGGCAATTAAAACAGTGCGCAAGTGAAAATATCGACCCACTGGTATGTATAGAGTTTGGCGCCGAGGGCGGCCAAGTGCCGTAAGTACACGTATGGGTCCACCGTGGTCCAAGAGATCCACGGACGGACGCGACTGGCCCGCGCGCGTCGAAGGGCATTCCGTCAACCAAACTTTTCTATACCAGCGGGTCCCTATTTTCACTTGCGCGCTGTTCTGGCGAAGTTTTGGCACTGTTTGAGCCTGATCCCGCTCGGCGCGCAGCCCGCACTAGTACGCTGACGTCGGCAGAGCGCTCGCCACTGTCAATGATTCAGACGGATAAGGGAATGCATGGCCATGGGTACCGGTCCCAACATGAACTGCAAAGTCATCACGTGCGCCAGCCTAAGCAGCCAGCTGCAGGCGCAGCGCCAACGGCAATGTTTTAAATTTGTGTATTCTCATTGCTATTACAGTAAATCGCAAGGCAGACCAAAAAATTTCAATCAAGGCCTGGAAACTCTCGACCTGGGAGTCGAACCCAGCTTTCGCGCGCAACGGAGGGGCTGTTGGATCCAATGACAAGCGCGTGTACTAACCGATATACTAGTCAAGACTGATCGTAATACTGTCTACGAGGATCTGTGTCATGGGAACACATCCCGGCCGTCTGGAAAATGTCCGGTGCGTAAGATACAATGTACTTACATTCCAAAGCTCTAGTCAGAAAGTTGTCATTCGGGGCACCAGCACGCACCGCATTGTTAACGTTACACGTTGCTGGGATGTAATCGAGAATCGGTTCGGTTGTAATTCCGCCTGCTAGTGAATGCCATTAGGCGGCGCAGCACCAGCGGCAATGCTTTAAACTTATTGCTTACGCACTCCAGATCTGCCACAGCGTCCTGATAGCCCAGTTCCCTCGGTTTGTTGGAATACTGTGATAAAAGTGTCAAGATACGAAATAGGGCGCATATACGCACGATTAATAGCATCCTGAACGCGCCCCAAAATTCCCATAAGCTTAACCACAAGTGACGTGTAAATCCCGACGATGGATTCCTCTCCTTCGAGCGCCACCGGTAAGCCGATATCTATAGGCTACGCGGAGCATCTCAGCGCAGGAATGAACGACGCGCTCATTAAACATGGCCGCCTTCGGACGCCCCAGGAACGAACTCATGACCGCGTCTGACACGTACGAGCAGCAGCCAGAACGCGCGCTTCAAGCTGTACAGCTCCGGCTGGACCGTATCCCCGCTGGAGCGGATGCGCCGGTGGGAGCCTTTGTCGGTCGCCATGTGCATTGACTCGGACAGCCCGAGATCCAACACCGACCAGCACACTTCGGGAGTCGACGCTCCCGAAGTACAGCACGCTCAACTGGGAGGAATAAGATGCACTGGCGCGCGGACGGCACTGCACCAACCGACACGATGTACAAACGGCGCGGAGACGGGCCGCACCTGGCGGAACCGGCACCAGCCCGCGCCGGTCCCATCTGCTCCATCGAGGATAACGCGCGGGTCGTCACAGAGCTTCGCCGCGTTGATGGCGCAGACGACGCGCACAAGCGCGCCGAACTGCTGGCCGTACGCGCGTGCAGGTGGAGCCCGCCGCCAACGGCGCGGCGGAAAGTAGGCTCGTGTAGCACATAGATCGGCCTGGGTGAAATAGATATCTGATCAATAATCTGGCCTTGTGAAAAATAAGTGCAGCATAAAGATCTCCGGCTGGAGCTCCCACTCGGTGGAGCCGTGATAACGATATCAGCCGAACCGGTGGGCACTGACCGGACCGTGACGGACTTCACACAGAACTGCTGTTTCTACTGCTGTTTCTGATGAAATTGATGCTGCTCGACTGCGACCAAAATTTGATGTACGGAAAGTGGGTGGCCGGAAATGTATTCTTGGGATCCTGATAAAAATCGATCTGATGTGGTCCTGCGCCGTTCGCGGGGGCTAAAAGCTGCGTGGAGGCTGAAGTTCGGCACGCTGGTAAATTATGCCAACCATGCGACTTGTCCTTGTGTGGATAGAATTTTGGTTAGCAGCGAGAATCAAGAAATAAAGCAAACCTTGATTTTTCGCTCTGCGCGGGAATTCCGGAAGTATCAGGTCTTGCTTGACGCTGGACTGAAAATTGAGAAACTACCTTGGCTCGGTATGTATGCGTGCATTCAGAGTCAGATGCGACGCAATTGGAGCAACGACTCCCTGGCATCTGCGCACTGTTACCTGTGCGTAAAATGGGAAACGGAAAACGATTCAGACAGTCAGACTGTTATCGACGTACAGCGAGCTATTCGAGTTCAGGTTGAATGAATGTACTTATATAAACCATGCGGTGCACCTTTCTGTTTTCGGCAGATATCACAGGTATTAGGCAGTCGTATGTCTTCGTTTAGGCTGGCAACAGCGGACTCAGACGGCATGGGCCGTGTAAGATGGAAGGCAGCAGAAGGCAGCTCGTGATAATTAACCCACCGTCACGTGGTTATACACGTGCTGTTCAACCGCTAACTTTCTTGAATCTTCGCCCCATTTCGCAAACTATGAAAAGAAAATCAATTTGTGGTACGGCTAACGATTTGATTCCGGTGAAGAAATATGTCGGCTTCACGGCACTGAGTCACGAGGTACTGTTACACTGGACGAAATTTGTTTAAGTACATGTCACGGAATACGAAAGCGAAATTCGGTTCGTCAGGCTCGACGAACTACATAATTGAAATGGTACAGGAGGATCGACGCTGTACTCCACTTTAGACCCGCGCGCCGACGTCCGACATCTTCTGCCGCTGACCTGCCCCCCGGGCCCTCACAGACTCGAAAGCCATGTGCATCCGATATGTGAAAGCCAAGACGATCAGCAGTTCCAGCACAGGTGCATACAGCCCGCTACCCTACCCATGCCTCTTCCCTCCTAATGTCTGTCCGCGCCCGCCCACGACGGTCTGGTTTCGGGCGAAACCACGACCGGACATTATTTTGACAGTGACATTTTTGCATATCTGCCAAGGGGGTGTCAAATCAAAAATTTCATATATAGGGTAGGGGGGAGGGGGGGTCCCCCGAGGGTCAAAAAAAACTTTTTACATCCATGGCGATAGAGTCTCAGAATCACCTTAAACAGCATTTTAAAGGTTTACGCACGTGGTACTGTAGTATTTCGAAAACACGTGACCTTTTGATGACATCAAAGCAGCTTTAAGAATCTCGATAATCACAAAAAATGATTGTATTAGGTTTGGAAAGCGCAGAAAGCACTAGACAGCTCAAACTCACGTATATACACATAGCCGTACTACATATAACATTTCTTATTTGTGGTTTCGAAGGCCCACGTGATTACAATCTTATCTTATCGTGGGAAAGACCTTCCCGATAAGGCAAGAGAGGGGGGGAGGGGGGTCTAGCAGGTCGAAGTAAAACTTTTCGACCCTATATGCATTTTTCGAAAATTGACACCCCCTTGATATCTGCATATATTTACATACCTCGCATCTGTACTTACTACTGCATATCTCGTATCTCTTTCTCTCTCTGGGTCACTGCGTTATTGCTTACACGACTGGCGTGGCAGTGCCCAGGTGGTGGTTCATTAATTTGTTACCATGGCCACGGCGGCGTCTGCACGTGCTACCAAAACCCGCACACCGGTCCACGGCGGTCCGCTCAAGTTCAACTGCTGGGCGTGGGCGTGGGCGTGGTCAGTGCCCATCGCCTCGTCCAGCCACGCCACGCGTGGGCGCCGGGTGCAGAGAACTTGAAGTGATGACGGAACTCTTACCGAGCTGGCACACGATGGAACTGGTATTCATAATTCCGGCCCTCGACGCGCGCGCGGGCCAGTCGCCTCCGTCCGTAGACGGGCCCATACGTGTACTTACGGCACTTGGCCGCCCTCGGCGCATTAACCAACTTTTCTATACCAGCGGATCCCCATTTTCACATGCGCACTGTAATTGCCCGATCTGTATCCCAGCCTGATCCTGCTCATCGCACAGCCCGCATTAGCACGCTGCACGCTGAATTCGGCCCAGCGCTAGCCATTGGACGATAAGGGAATGCATGGCCGTGGGCACCGGTCTCAACGTGAACTGCAAACGACCCTCGCGGCGTGCCTCATGGCCAGAGGTTTTAGGTTTTAGTAACATATGCCCGGCGCGTGACGCGGCCAAGTCTTTAATTGGAAGCTGTGCGCGCGCATCATCATCGCGTGCGCCAGCCTCGCAGCGCAACGACAATGCTTTAAACTTGTGTATTCTCATTGTCATTACAGTAAAATCGCAAAGGCAGACAAAAAATAAGTATCCAAACCATGATTGCGGCACTCTCGACCTGGGAGTCGAACCCAGCTTTCGCGCGCACATGTACTGTTGATCATAATCAGCAGGGGTATGACAAGCGCGTGTACTAAACCGATATACTAGTCAAGATTAATTGCAGTACTGTCACAAGGATCTATGTAATGGGAACCGGTAGCATGCTAGCCGCAAGCGCAGCGCCAACAGCAATGCTTTAAACTCATTGCAGTAAATCGCAAGGGCGGACCAAAAAAAGATTCTGTGAATTCCCACTGACACTCTCGACCTGGGAGTCGAACCCAGCTTTCGCGCGCAATCATCTACGTCGCTAGCCGCATGACAAGCGCGTGTACTGAACCAATATACTAGTCAAGACCGATTGTAGCATCGCTGTCTATGTCATGGGAACCGGTAGCATGCACCTGACTTGTGCGTCCGGGACAGGGCGGTACATAAGATACATTCCAAAGCTCTAAACAGAAAGTTGGCGCCAGCACGCACCGCATTGTTAACGTTACGGGTACCGACTCGCCGCCGAGAACCGGTTAGGTTGTAATTCCACCTGAATGCCATTCCAAGCGTACTAGTAGCGAGGTTGATCAAATTCGGATCGAGTAGAGTTGGACGAGCCGACCTCTTGGACCCGGCGGGCCCATCCGTGTACTTACGGCACTTGGCCGCCTCGGCGCATCAACCACTGATGCCAAAAGTTAACTTCTCTATACCAGTGGGGTCTCTTTTCACTTGCGCACTGTTTGAATTGCTCCCAGCCTGAATATATCAGTCACCACGATGTTGCTACTAGTACACTGACTTCGGCCCAACACTCGCCATATTGTTAAGGGAATGCACGGCCGTGGTCACCGGCCTCAACGTGAACCTCGTGGCGTGCCTCATGGCCAGACGTCATTTTAATATATGCCCGACGCGGCCAAGTTTTTAATTTGAAGCCGGGCACGCGCATCGAACCTGAGCAGCTAGGCTGCAGGCGCAGCGCCAACGGCAATGCTTTAAAGTTGTGTATTCTCATTGCTATTACAGTAAATCGCAAGGGCAGACAAAAAAAAAAAAAGATCCTAAAAGATCTGAGACTCTCGACCTGGGAGTCGAACCCAGCTTTCGCGCGCATCCATGTGGAGCGGAGAAATCATGACAAGCGCGTGTACTAAACCGATATACTAGTCAAGAATGATTGCAACACTGTCACGAGGATCTATGTCGGTAGCATGCACCCGATGCGCGTACTTGTCAGCCTGACATTTCAATAATTTTTGTCGTGAGTGGCCTGGAATAATAGAATATTTCAAAGCGCAATGCACAGAAACTCTTGCTACCTTAGTCCTTCGCCATGGTGGAGGATCGCTTCGACGAACGAAAACACAATGTGTCATGGAATGCGACTGAACGTGTGCCAGTGGTCAGTCGTTCCGGCGTGTTCAACGTTCATCGTTCATGTTCGGCGTCTCCCAGTTCACTCGCCTTCCTTCCGGTTATATCCTCACACGCATCCCAGATGAGGCGAACGGCGGATGTTCTGTTCAGAAGGCTTGGTGGTTACGAACTTGAAAATGGGCAGAGGTAAATTTCCTTGACATCGACGAGGACTACGGTGCGAACGAGTCGGATCTTTGTCGGATCTTGTACAATTTTTCTTTTAGGATTTGTTAGGATTTTTTTGCGATTTTTTTGGGTTGTTTGAGGCTCAGTCCGGACAAAATTTTGGAGAAATCTGGTGCCCAAGACGTCCAATCCGGACAAAAAAATAAAAGCCAACATTTTAGAATCCTACCTCTCACGGTGTTCTCAGCCCTGTCGTAGACGGGAAGTAAAGACGCGTCACGTCACGGTGTCGAGGAATTTGGCCTGTACTGCCACCGGAATTTGGTGCGGGAACTTGAACTTACAATTGAATAATTTGAAGGCGCGGTGTAACGGCTGGCCAGAGCGCTAAGGCTGCGACTTATCTGACGAGCGCGATGCCCTACGCCGCGAGGAGTTGCCTCTGACAAACCGCAATTTGAAGGAGCAAACTTTAGCGACTACTTCAAGTTTGATTTTGATGTGATGGCGGCTAATGGCGCTCCGCCAACATAAATAGCTCTCAAGTTCAATGGCGGGACATTCTGCAGTGTCCGAGAAGTAGTCATCGTTCTGCACTCGAGTGTCTGCAGTAAATCCACCAATTCCATCGTTGTCGTTAAATACACTCATGAATATCGTAAATATTCAGTGGTATCACCAGCATGCGCTACCAAGTAAGAGAACCGCAGCGCCAAGTAGGATTAGGAGGCTCGACGACGAAAACGGTCTTGATGCGATGGCACCGCTGCTGTTGTTGTTCGAGGCCTGCGTTGCGGATGCAGGGGCGACAATGGACGACGAGACGCCGGTGCCGAAGAGGGAGCCCTCCAGGGCGCAGACCTTGTTGAGCCCGTTAACGACCGCGACTGGGTCGGGCAATTTGAGGAATGATGTCTGGTTCGTTTGCTCGAAGCTACGAGCTACGAGGTATGACGGATCAGAACAACGATTGGATCTGACGGTGCGTTCGTTCTTTACACGCACTCGGGACAATTTCAATCCATTGCCTCTTCAAATTACTGTAATGATACACAGGATAGTACAAGTAACAGATTCGGTAGAAGGTCATGGACTCGCACCCGTTTGATAGCACAGTCTAAGTTGATATTATTCTAATTTTTCCTCCCGCCTGAATGCCATTCCAAGCATAGCGAGATTGATGATCCCTAGCGATGAAGTTTGGATCGCCTGCAGACCTGTAGTTTGGTCTGCCGTGTTCAAAGCCACAAATTGTCAACGTTCTCACGTCCGAACATACTTATGGGCATAGCGAATTCATGAGTTGTCGTGTTTCCGGGGCTTCAAACTATAACTGTATGTAAGAAAGCAACGTAGAGCGCAAGCTCTGCCAGCCTAGTCAATGCGCGGTCGACGGCCAAATTTCACTCAGCGGCCAAATTTCACTGAGTGAATTTTAGCCGTCGACCGCGCGTTGCAGTTTCGCTGCAATTGTGAAATACCACTGCCAATTGCAAGGCTAAACGTTTCGCTAAACCTTGATGAAGAGCGTCGTGTGGCGGTGGTTCAGTTAAATAATTTGTTGCCATGGGCACGGCGGTGTCTGCATGGCACCGAAACTCGTTCCTGGACCGCCTGGACCGACGGAATGCCACTAGTCTACGGCGGTTAAGCTTAACTGCAGATATCCACTGGCATTCGCCAATGGGCACGACCGCGACGGCGGCGCCTCACCATGCGCATGCCGCATCATGCCAGAACCGGCGGTGCGCACCGGCACCGGCATCGCCTCGTCCAGCCACACCACGCGTTTGGCGCTGTTTGGCGCCGGGAAACTGAAAATAGCTCCGCGGGGTTCCACGCGCGCCAGGCACCGGTGACCGGCCTCGGCGCCGGGTGATGACAGAACTCTGTCAATGGGTAACCGAGATGGCACTGGCTCCAGCCCTTCGCTTGCGCCCACAACACGCACGGGCCAGTCGCGTACGCTGACTTCAGAGGATAAGGGAATGCACGGCCGTAGGCACCGGCCTCAACGTGAACCGCAAACGACCCTTATGGCCAGAGGTTTTATGCTTTAATTTGAACGAGCCAGCCTGAGGAGCTAGCTGGAGGCGCAGCGTAATGCTTGTATTCTCACTGCTACTACAGTAAATAGCAAGGGCAGACCAAAAAAAAAAATCAGCACCCACTAGATTGACAGCTCTCGACCTGGGAGTCGAACCCAGCTTTCGCGCGCAACCGGAGCTAACGTTGGGTCCGTTACTGGATGACAAGCGCGTGTACTAACCGATATACTAGTCAAGACTGATTGTAATACTGTCTTTGAGGATCTATGTCATAGCATGCACCTGACTTGTACATCCGGTGCGTAAGATACAATGTAAGTACATTCCAAAGCTCTAGTCAGAAAGTTGTCACTTGTGGCGCCAGTACGCACCGCATTGTTGACGTTACTGGTACCGAAAATCGGTTAGGTTGTAATTCCGCCTGAATGCCATTCCAAGCGTAGCGAGGTTGATCAAATTCGGATCGCCTACAGACTCCTACAGACCTGTAGTTTACGTACTGTGGTCCAATCCGACACACTGATAGACACACGTGCTTTGCCAGTGATCAGATGGTGAACGACAAAAGTCGTAGCAAGAACCTGAGGGCCTAATAAATACAGCTGAACAAATAATTTGCTTTGGGGAAGAATCTCAGATACCCAAGAACAGGCACAGCATCTTCTGCTGGAAACTGAGAACTTTCGGCTTTGTGTCTTAATTTGGAACAATCAACTTTTGCTCTGTAAATCGCTTCCCCAACCCACAACCTCCTTATAGGCTCTAGTGAGACTCAACTTTAAGTTTGCCTCCAGAATTTTTCTTGTATGGAAAGAACGATAAGGCAATTAGGAAGTGAAGGAACGGCTTCAAGTTGTTTATTAATATTTGTGGTGGGTAGTAGGTCTGCACGTGTGTCCATCAGGGTGTCCGATTGCCCGATCTGCCACTCCTTGGCCTAGCTAGCTGCAGGCGCAGCGCGCTTTACATAAATTTGTGTATCTATTTGCTATTATAGTAAATCGCAAGGGCAGATTATTTAAACAAAAACTCTACTCGTACATCAGTGAACTCTCGACCTGGGAGTCGAACCCAGTTTTCGCGCGCATCGAAGTGATCGAAGATAAACGACAAGCGCGTGTACTAAACCGATATACCAGTCGAGAGCGATTGTATTACTGTCACGAGGATTTATGTCACTGTAGCATGCACCCGATACTTGTGCCTCTGGGGCGGCCCGGGCGGCGGTGCGTAAATACAATTGTACATTCCCAAGGCTCAAACTCAAAGAAAGTTGGCACTCGTGGCGCCAGATTTTTTAGGCACGCACCGCATTGTTAACGTTCCTGGTGCCGAGAATTGGTTAGTTTGTAATTCCGCCTGATCATTGCCATTCCCTACTAGTACTGTAGCGATGAAGTTCGGATCGCCTGCAGACCTGTAGTTCTTACGCAGAATAGATGTACTTATGTGGCAACTGTGGTCTGCCTCCGTGTTCTGGATGAGGCTCCCGGGCCTTAGAATTTATTAAATTGGTTTACATATGCATGTATAAACCTGTTCTATATAAGTGGCCTCCCCAACTGATCAGGTTATCTGGATGTCTGCCGCGCCCGCCCGTGACGGCCCTGCTAAACCCCTCAAGCTTCAAGGCCTCACGCGCACGACCGGCGACATTGTCATTGTCATTTTTGCATATCTACAACTTTACATACCTCGCATCTGTACTTACTACCGCATATCTCGTATTTCTTTCTCTCTCTGGGTCGCATTCCAACGTGAATGAATGCTGCGTTATTGTTTATGCCACGACTGGCGTGGCAGTGCCAATGTGGTGGTGGTTCATTAATTTTGTTGCCATGGCCACGGCGGCGTCTGCACATGGCACTGAGGCACCGTTCCGCACCGACGGAGTACCACTAGTCTACGGCGGTTAAGCTTAACTGCAGATATCCACTGGCATTTGCCAATGGGCGCGACGGCGGCGCCTCGCATGCGCCCACAAGCGTGGGCGTGGGCGTGGCCAGTGCCCGGCGGTGCGCACCGGCACCGGCATCGCCTCGTCCAGCCACCCACCGCGCGTGGGCTCCGCGAAGCTGAAAATAGGCCCGCGGGGTTCCAGTGTCCACGCGCGCCAGGCACCGGTCACCGGTGACCGGCCTCGGCGCCGGGTGCAGAGAAGTGATCTGGGTTACCGAGATGGCACTGGCATTCCAGCCGCGCGCGGGCCAGTCGCGTCCGTGTAGTGCAACTGTACGTGGAATCGGCGAAACTTTCAAAATTGAGTAGAACTGCCGACGAGCCGACCTCTTGGACCCGGTACGTCACTTGGCCGCCCTAAACTTCTCTATACCAGTGGTCCCTTTTCACTTGCGAACTGTTTTAATTGCTCCTGTATCCCAGCCTGAATATATCAGCCACCACCATGCTGCAACTAATAACGCTGACTTCGGCCCAGTGCTCGCCACTGTCAATGATTCGGACCATAAGGGAATACAGGGCCGTGGGCACCGGCCTCAACATGAACCGCAAACGACCCTCGCGGCGTGCCTCATGGCCAGAGGTTATACGCCCGACGCGTCCAAGTCTTTACATAATTTAAACTTGAAGCTGGGCGCGCGCATCATCATCGCGTGCGCCAGCCTGGGCAGCTACCTGCAGGCGCAGCGCCAACGGCAATGCTTTAATTTTGTGTACACTCATTACAGTCGATCGCAAAGGCAGACCAAAAAAATACTTAAAAACAAGCTGACACTCTCGACCTGGGAGTCGAACCCAGCTTACGCGCACATCTGTATTAGCTGACCCTATGACAAGCGCGTGTACTAAACCGATATACTAGTCAAAATTGATTGCTGCACAGTGTCACAAGGATCTATGTAATGGGAACCGGTAGCATGCTAGCTGGGCAGCGCCAACAGCAATACTTTAAACTTATTGCTTAAATTGCAAGGGCGGACCAAAAAAATAGATTCACTCAATATCCAATCTCAACCTGGGAGTCGAACCCAGCTTTTGCGCGTAATCATCTAAGCCGCTAGCCGCATGACAAGCGCGTGTACTGAACCGATATACTAGTCGAGACTGAATGCAGCGCCGCTGTCTATGTACCAGTAGCATGCACCCGACTTGCGCGTCTGGGATATAAGATACAATGTACATTCCAAAGCTCCAAACAGAAAGTTGGCGCCAGCACGCATCGCATTGTTAACGTTACTGGTACCGAGAATCGGTTAGGTTGTAATTCCGCCTGAAATGCCATTCCAAGCAGCTAGCGGCAGGCGCAGCGCCAATGAGTCACAGCAATGCTTTGAATTGCATTCTCATTGCTGTTACAGTAAATCGTAAGGGCAGACCAACAAAAAAAAAAACGGAAACTAGATACTCTCGACCTGGGAGTCGAACCCAGCTTTCGCGCGTAAGCAGTTGTACGGTCATAACGGACACATGACAAGCGCGTGTACTAAGCCAATATACTAGTCAAGACTGGATGCATTTCTGTCACGAGGATCTATGTCATTGGAACCAGTAGCATGCTAGCTGCAGGCGCAGCACCAGCGGCAATGCTTTAAAACTCATTCATTGCTTACAGTAAATCGCAAGGGCAGACCAAAAAAAAAAAAAGATCCATAAGATGTTCAAAATTGGAACTCTCAACCTGGGAGTCGAACCCAGCTTTCGCGCGTAAGCGGTTGCACGACACATGACAAGCGCGTGTACTAAACCGATATACTAGTCAAGATTATTCTTGTGAGAATTATCATTGCTATTACAGTAACTCACAATGCAGACCAAAAAAAATTCAATCAAAGCCTGGAAGCTCTCGATCTGGGACTCCGGAGTCGAACCCAGTTTTCGCGCGCAACGGGGTTGTTGGGTCCCATGACAAGCGCATGTATTACTAACCAATATACTAGTCAACTTGAAGACTGATTGTAATACTGTCTTCGAGGATCTGTGTCATGGGAACCCCGTAGCATGCACCCGGGTCCTGGTCCCGACTTGTACGTCCGGTGTGGTCCCAACTTGTACGTCCGGTGCGTAAGATACAATCGACAAGTGTGTACGAGCCGCAAAAGCGCCAAGAGGTTCACACGCAATCTGTCATCTTACTGATGTTGGAATTTGCCATATGGCAAGTTTTCGTATTCTTTGCAAATAATTATTTGGACTAGAGTTATGTACCTCTAAGGTACCGAATCTGAATCTGAAGTTGATCTTGTGCCTGTTCGGTGGAGGAGTGGGATATGTTCTTCTCGGCTACCAACTAGAGTTTGTTTGAGCGAGAGACCCGCTTCGAGAGGATGACGTTACCTCGGGACATCACCGTCTCGATCTTATTTTCTGATTCCTCTGGGTCCTCGTGCGTGAGCCCATACTTTTTGAGCACAAAGTTAATGCGTGCGAGGGAGCGCTCCATATGTGCCGCATGATGTGCAAATGCCATGTCCATTGTCATATTCTTCATGGCCATCTTTTCCAGACATGAGCTTCCGCCGTGCGAGGTGCGCAATGCCAGATTTGAGTCTATGACTGGGCCACCCGATTGGCATCCCCCCGCAGGACGAAAAAGAAGTTGAAATGCTGATCATTAATATGAGATGACGCTCACCCTTCGTCGTTGTCCTGCCAGTGCTGTGCTCAAGCTTGTTAAGCATGCATTGGAGCTCGGGACTCGGCATATGCTCGTCCTGCCGAGTGTTGACTGCGAATTTGCCCAATGAACAATGACGTAAAGCATACACGGATGACTTACCGTTGTGTATGCCAGCCAGAGCTCCCGCAACAATCGAGAATATTGTCCAGAGTGCTGAAAGCATTGCAAACGTTGAAACAAAAACGCTGGTGATCGCAGATCCCAATGGCTTGATACGCGGGGTCGAGCGAAGGTACTGTAGCACTGGAACGCGATCACTGGTTTTGAAGAAATCAACCTGCTTCTGCCACGCAGCCATGAAAGTCGCGTTCGATGTCAAGCCACGCAAGCCGGGATCTCCCCAGATACTCGGATGATTGTAGTCACCGTACATATCTGCCCTAAGATCATAACTTTGAATTGTGTGGTTGTAAATTTCCGGAGAGTTGTAAATTTGATTTTCCAATATCACTCCAAGATCCAGACGCACAAGATGGTAAAGCGCCTGGAAGATATTTTGACATCCGGCACTAAAATTTTCAGCAACGTTTTCTTGAATTTCCATGGCGTACTTGAACACATCTGAAATGTTGGCAGGCGTGTTTAACAAACCGGCCGGATAAAAATATCCAGACGAGTCTGTCCACCCATTGTCAAACGGGTCTCCTGGAATGTCAATCACAATGAAACCGACGGGATTCAAGGAGCACGGAGGTTGAAGTAGAGATGTTGTTTCAAGTGAAGACCCCTCCAGAGCGGTATCACAATTGCAACAGGGATGGACGGTGAAACTGATGGTGAGCCGGGTGCTGTTGGTGTTACGGTCCTCGCGGAAGACAACCGGCGGGTTGGTGGCCCAAGCCATGATCCTAACTTTTCTATCAGAGAGGATATTTTCATAGGTGGAACTGTTACCAGAACCCGAACATATCTAACTAGTTGGCATGTTTGTTCCTTGAAGATGTGCAATAGTCATCCCAGACTCACAAGTTGATCAACCAGATACAATGGCAAAGTTCGGAGTTCATCAGATAGCGAGTCAATATTTCCATAGACGCTCCAACCCAAGTAAAAGCCGGTGGGAATGTGGCAAGTGACTGTTCCCTATGGTTGTTTTTTTGTGAGTTGCAACCAGGCAACGTATTACAAAGATCCCTTACAGAAAAGTGCACTTGCCAGGTACTTGCCTCCGCTACTAGGCCAAATGTCATATTTGTCTGTGCGGAAAAATCAACATCGCACGCCCGAAACCGCGGGCTTCCGTAAAGAGAAGAAGGTTGGCGCACCACGTCACAGCCATCAGAAAGCGGATTGTTGTAATACGAGAAAGACGAGACAGGTGTGGTCATAGAGGGGTCATCAAATGCCTCGATGATAGTGTAGTTGAAGGTAGAGCCATTGAGGACTAACACGTCACCGACGGTCAGAATCTGCGGAGTGAGGTCGCCAGCCGAATTTCGGAGAACTGAAGGGATTAAATTGCTTAGAGGGAGTGCGGGGAGGGTATCATTCGGACGGTACGTGGCTTGCTGTATGATGTTGTACGCGGAGAGGGGAACTAGGTGTGCTTCTATGAGAATGCTGCAACTTTTAATGATGCTCAAGGCCCACTGGCACTCACCATTTATCACAGCGAGAAAGGGGGAAACGATGAAAAACATTCCTAGCACGATTGGCGTCGTCCACCTCCATGGGTATGCTGATATCGATTGGGACCGTCGACGTGTGCACAGAAACGGAGTGAGCGACTCACGTCGCTTGTCAGCGTATCCAAGCCGAAAGGAATAAATTCCTTTAAAAATGTGCTTCATGATCTTTGCGCAAGGTGGTCAGGAGGAAGATGATACTGCACTTCAAGTTGCACCCACCCGTGGATTCTTAAGGGAATGCGGATGGTGAAAAAAGATCATCAAGCCAACTCAGACATGATCAACCTTCTTCCGGGCTGTAGTCAGTCGATAGGACACGGCTCAACACCGCCCGCAATACTGACAGGGAAGGAACGAAGCATTCTGCTTGAGAAAGATAATGAAAATGGTAGATGGACAAAACTGAGGCCACGGTTGGGCCACGGGAAACTTTTCAGACTCCGCAATACCACGCCAAGACGGGCTTTTCATGCCTGGCCAAACCCCCAGTGACGACCGACATTGACATTTTGCATATCTACATCTGTACTTATTACCGCATATCTCGTATCTCTTTCTCTCTTGGGGCCGCATTCCAAATTGAATGAATGCTGGTTATTGGTTGCGTGAGGATCCCAGGCATGGCATGGCAGTGCCCAATGTGGCGGTGGTTTAATTTGTTGCCATGGGCACGGCGGCGTCTGCACATGGAACCGGGGCACACCGCCTGCCAGTGGGCCGAGGGTCTAGAGGCCAGTACGCAAACGTTCAGCTAAACGCCAATATCCACTGGCACTGATGCCAATGGGCGCGACGGCGGAGCCTCACCATGCGCATGCCGCATGCCACAACCGTGGGCGTGGGCGTCGCCAGTGCCCGGCAGTGCGCACCGGCACCGGCATCGCCTCGTCCAGCCACGCCACGCGTGGGCTCTGGGAACCTGAAAATAGGCCCGCGGGGTTCCACGCGCGTCAAGCACCCGTGACCGGCCTCGGCGCTGCAGAGAAGTGATGACGGATCGTCTGGATGGCACTGGCATTCCAGCGCGCGGGCCAGTCGCGTCCGTTCGTGGACCTCTCCGGCACTTGGCCGCCCTCGGCACATCACCAAACTTCTCTATACCAGTGGGTCCCTATTTAAATTTTATCACTTGTGCACTCGACTGTAATTCAAGTTGCTCCCAGCCTGATCATCCTGCTCAGCACAGCCCGCACTAGTGTGCCGACTTCGGCTCAGCGCCACTGTCAATGATTCGGACGATAAGGGAATGCAATGATGGCCGTGGGCACCGGTCTCAACACGACGCGTGACCGAAGTCTTTAATTTGAAGTCATCACGTGCGCCAGCCTATGGCCAGCTGCAGGCGCAGTTCAAAACTCTCAAGGGCCTGGGAGTTGAACCCAGCTTTCGCGCGCATCAAGTAATATCGTGCATGACAAGTGCGTGTACTAAACCGACTCGGATATAAGTACTAGTCAAGAACAATTGCAAAACTGTCACCAGGATCTAACCGGTGCTAGCTGGGCAGCGCCGACAGCAATGCTTTAATCTCATTGCTTAAATCGCAAGGGCGGACAAAAAAAGGATTCATTGAATGTCCAAGTTTTCCAACACTCTCGACCTGGGAGTCAAACCCAGCTTTTGCGCATAATTGAAGTCGCTAGCCGCATGTTGGCCGCATGACAAGCGCGTGTACTGAGCCGATATACTAGACTGATTGCATTCAATGCTGTCACGAGGATCTATGCCATGGGAACCGGTAGCATGCGATGCGCGTACTTGTTTAGTCAAATTCGGATCGCCTGCAGACCTATACGTTCTTACGCACTGTGGTCTGCCGCCGTGTTCGAAGCCACAAACTGTTGACGTTCTCGCGTCCGAACATATGGGCATAGCGAATTCATGAGATCCCGTGCTTCCAGGGCTTCAAATTTGCTTCAAACTATAATTTAAACTGTATGTAAGAAACAACGTGGAGCGCAAGCTCTGCCAGTGAGATTTGGCCGTCGAGCGCGTTTTGCAGATTCACTGCAATTGTGAAATACCACTGGCAAGGCTAAACCTTAAGAGAGCGTCACGGTCGTTACGGTCAGATAGCGATTCCTACATTATCTCTGATTAATACCACTTTCCGGTAACCCATGCGTGCGGCAACGCAGTCCTTGCCTCGAGCAGGAATTTATCTGATTCAGCCCTCCTCTCCCCTTGTGATAGCTGCCCGCTCGAATGTACGAGGCGCATCGAGAAAGAGGCTCTCCACAGGGCAGGGAACAGCGCCAGCCACTGGAGTATCCAGGAGGCCAACGCGCAGTGTCGAAAAAACCAGCGGACACCGAAACGGATCGTACACACGAAAGCATTGCGGCAACTTCGCGCGCCCCGGCGCTGAGTGCCCCGAGCTCGTGCTCGGGCACCGGCTGAGTCATGTTCGTTTCCAGCTCGATATGTAGGCTCACGTTGTCGCCGGCTCCACGCGCC